CTATTGAAATGGCCTCCCTGTGTCTTCAGTAGACGTGTGCTTAGGAGCTGGAGTTGCAACTGTAAGCCTCCTTTTCCCCTCCCTATTGGAGATAATAATATTTATGACACAGGATGTTGAGAAGATTTTTTTTTCTTTTGGACATAACAATTTGATTGAGTAAATGTTTTGGGGTTTTTTTGGTTTGTTTTTTAGAGACACAGGCTCACTCTATTGACCAGGATGGAGCACAGTGGCACAATCGTAGCTTGCCGCAACCAAGAACTCCTGGGCTCAAGTGATCCTACTGCCTCAAACTCCCAAATAGCTGGGACTACAGGCACGTGCCACCATGTTCAGCTAACTTTTGTTTTTTTGAGAGATGAGGCCTCACTATGTTGCCCACACTGGTCTTGAACTCCTGGCCTCAAGCAATCCTCCTGCCTCAGACTCCCAAAGTGCTGGGATTACAGATGCGAGCCACCATGACCAGCCTGAACGTTTTGGTTATTACAAAGCGACTATATTATTGCCACCTTGCAGCTAGTTTCACTGAAAATACTTCTGATTTTAATATGCTGCTCATCTCTTGTATCAGAATTGTTTATTACCCCATTGAGAGAGGACACTGACTAATTTGCCTAAGGTCATTTAACTTACAAGTATTAACAGCAGAGCTAGGACTTGAACCCCAGCAGTCTGGTCCAGAGCCCACACTCTTGATCACTGAAGAGTGTGGCTTAATCTTGTAACAAAGAACCAGAACACCTAGGAGAAGGTCCTAGAGCGGCAAGGGCCTGAGGCCTTAAAGGAAGGGGCCCTAAGCAGGATTTGTGTATAGCTCTATTCTGGGCTGGTAGCAGGGTGCCCACTGTTTCCAAACTGTGCAATGTTACCCAAATAACATCAACTACACTTGTGGGATCCAACTGTGGGCCTTTATTCCCCTACATCCCAACCCTGATGACTATTTAATGGGCGATAAGGTTACTATAAAGCCAGAGGGTTGGGTAGGGCTGTGGCCCAGGAACTTGGTCCCTCATGGGATAAATTTTTGCCATCAAGCAGTGGAGACTCTTCTCCCTGCCAAGTCTGAAAAGGAAGTCCTCTTAAGAGCACTGTGTGAGATATCTCCTACTGGCTCAGTGCCCAATCCTGCCCAACACACTTCCCAGAGGTCCTTGCAGCAGGTTCTGGACTTGACTGCGATTCTGCTAATGAGATTCTCTCCTGAGAGATTTGGAAGGCAGAAGGAGGACAGAGGCCATCGTCCTGGGACTGTGGAGCTTGATAAGTAATCCCTTTTTTTTTTTGAGACTGAGTCTCGCTCTGTTGCCCAGGCTGGAGTGCAGTGGCGCAATCTCAGCTCACTGCAACCTCCACCTCCCGGGTTCAAGCGATTCTCCTGCCTCAGCCTCCCAAGTAGCTTGGACTACAGGCATGTGCCACCACGCCCAGCTAATTTTTGTATTTTTAGTAGAGATGAGGTTTTGCCATGTTGGCCAGGGTGGTCTCGAACTCCTGACCTCAGGTGATCCACCCACCTTGGCCTCCCAAAGAGCTAGGATTACAGGCGTGAGCTACGATGCCCAGCCTGATCCTATTGTTGCGCTATTTATAGCCAGTAATCCTTTCTAGTATGGGTGTGGTGGCTAGACGCTGGAGTCCACTGTCCTGTTACCAACTTCAGGAGACTGAGACAGTTCAAAAGCAGCAGAAGCAGAATTGGTTTGTTGAACTCTGATGGCAACATCAGAGGAGTGACCTTGACTTACACTTCTCCAGCTCTTTTACTTTTTTTCTTTTGAGACAGTCTCACTCTGTTGCCCAGGCTGGAGTGCAGTGGCACAATTTCAGTTCACTGCAACCTCCGCCTCCCAGGTTCAGACAATTCTCCTGCCTCAGCCAACCTAGTAGCTGGGATTACAGGCACGGGCCCAGCTAATTTTGTATTTTTAGTAGAGACAGGATTTCACCATGTTGGCCAGGCTGGTCTTGAACTCCTGGACTCAGGTGATCTGCCCGCCTCAGCCTCCCAAGGTGCTGGGATTATAGTCATGAACTACCACGCCCGGCCTCAGCTCTTTTAAGTACTTTTTGCCCAAGTACTTAAATCTTTTTCCACTTAAAATACCCAGAGTGGTTTCTATTTCCTAGTCTGAACCCTAAATGATATGGTTAGTAACTGGAAGGTTCAGAACTCTAAGAACAGATACTAAACAGAAAGTCTTTTCAGAAAGCCCTTTCATTTTAAACTCAAGATAACAATAGGCCAGGCATGGTAGCTCACATTTGTAATCCCAGCACTTTGGGAGGCCTAGGTGGGAGGATTGCTTGAGGCCAGGAGTTTGAGATCAGCCTAGGCAACATAGCGAGGCCCCATCTCCAGCAAAAGAAAGAAAAGAAAGTTTAAAAAAATCAAAATAACATTAAGAAATAACTAGGTATCAGCCAGGTGCGGTGGCTCGCCTCTGTAATCCCTGCGTTTTGGGAGGCTGAGATGGGCAGATCACCTGAGGTCAGGAGTTCAAGGCCAGTCTGGCCAACAGGGTGAAACCCCAGCTCTACTAAAAATACCAAAATAGGCTGGGCGTGGTGGCAGGTGCCTGTAATCCCGGCTACTTGGGAGGCTGAGGCAGGGGAATGGCTTGAACCCGGGAGGCGGAGGTTGCAGTGAGCCGAGATCATGCTGTTGCACTCCAGCTTGGGCAACAAGAGTAAAACTCTACCTCAAAAAAAAAAAAAAAAGAAAGAAAGAAAGAAAAAGAAATAATTAGGTGTTGGGAGGCTGAGGCAGGTAGACCACCTGAGGTCAGGAGTTCAAGACCAGCCTGGCCAACAAGGTAGAACCCCATTTCTACTAAAAATACAAAAATTAGCAGGGCGTGGTGGTACGCACCTGTAGTGCCAGCTACTTGGGAGGCTGAGGCAGGAGAACTGCTTGAACCTGGGAGGCAGAGGTTGCAGTGAGCCGAGAATGCGTCACTACACTCCAGCCTGGGTGACAGAGCAAGACTCCGTCTCAAAAAAAAAAAAAAAGAAATAATTAGATGTCACTTACTCTGGTTTTTGAACCCTTAACCAGAATCGTTTCAAAGGTATGGGCACAGAGATCTATGACTCCCTCCAGATGCTGTCATGGAAGCAGCACACAAATCAGGCCTGTCCATGATCATGCAGCACTTGATGCTTCTCTTCCTTAAATTATCTGCCTGTCTCTTTTTTTTTTTTTTTTTTTGAGACGGAGTCTCGCTCTGTCACCCAGGCTGGAGTGCAGTGGCGTGATCTCCACTCACTACAAGCTCCGCCTCCCAGGTTCACGCCATTCTCCTGCCTCAGCCTCCTGAGTAGCTGGTACTACAGGCGCCCGCCACCACGCCCAGCTAATTTTTTCTGTTTTTAGTAGAGACGGGGTTTCACCGTGTTAACCAGGATAGTCTCAATCTCCTGACCTCCTGATCCGCCCGTCTCGGCCTCCCAAAGTGCTGGGATTACAGGCGTGAGCCACCACGCCAGCCGCCTGTCTCTCACATTTAGACTGATGATAATAACATCTTCTGGCAATTTTGCCTTTCTCATTTGGGGCACAGACAGGCCAGGCAGGCTTCCTCTATTTTCGAACAAGTGATATCACATAGTAGCAAGCATGCAAACATCTTTTTTTTTTTTGAGATGGAGTCTTGCTCTGTCACCCAGGCTGGAATGCATAGGCACAATCTCGGCTCACTGCAACCTCCAACCCTGGGGTTCAAGCGAATCTCCTGCCTCAGCCTCCCAAGTAGCTGGGATTACAGGCGTGTGCTACCATGCCTGGCTAATTTTTGTATTTTTAGTAGAGACGGGTTTTCACCATGTTGTCCAGGCCGGTCTCAAACTCCTGACCTCAGGTGATCCACCTGCCTCAACCTCCCAAAGTGCTGGGATTACAGGTGTGAGCCACCGCGCCTGGCCGCAAACAACTTAAAACATAATGAAAGACACAGAAAGGCTAAGGAAGATCCATCCTTTGGTGCTGTGCTCTACAGTCTTGTAGTAACCCTCCACAGGAATGGCTTACAACACACGTGACGGTTTTGCAAATCTGAATGGTCACAGATGTAAGCAACATTGAAACATGGTAAAAACATAAGCTGCTTAGCCATTTACACAGAACTGACAAAGTTGATTACACCATAAATACCTTAGCACCTTAAGAGTCTCTTTCCACTCCTTCTGAAGACTTTCCCATGTATCGACTTCCACCCATTTGGAATTCTTAGTGGCAAGTTCTGCCATGATGACCCGGTGATACGCAGGAATGAGTCCTTTCTTCTTGTAGGCATCACCAACAGGAGAGATGATGCCTTTGACAACTGTGTATCTTCCTGGATAAAGAGTTAGGTTTCACACTAGGTATAACAAATTCAATTTTATACACGATCAATATTATTTGTTTTGTTTTGTTTGTTGAGACAGAGTCTTGCTCTGTTCCCCAGGCTGCACTGGCGTGATCTCGGCTCACTGCAACCTCTGCCTCCTAGGATGAAGCGATTCTGACTCAGCCTCCCAAGCAGCTGGGATTACAGGCGCGTATCACCATGCTGGCTAATTTTTGTATTTTTAGTAGAGACGGGGTTTTTACCATGTTAGCCAAGAGGTCTCCAACTCCTGACCTCAAGTGATCTGCCTGCCTCAGCCTCCCAAAGTGCTGGGACTACAGGCATGGTCACCATGCCTGGCCAATATTGTTTTATAATCACAGATTCTCTTTCTTTAGGGATTCCAGCTTATTAGCTGAATGATCAATTAATTGACTGAAATTATGGTAAAATAAACCCGAGTGTACAGTTCTATGATATTAAGTACAAACATGCTGTTGTGCAACCACTGCTCCTATCCATCTCCAGAATTTTCTCATCTTCCCCAACTGGAACTCTGTACCTCACCTCATTCCCCTACACAGTTAAATTTCTATTGATATTGCCAAATTGCTTTGTAAAAAGCCTTAATTTGTATTGTCTACCTAGATGTATGCAAAAGCCTATTTCTCAATGTCATAGGCAAATAGTGAGCTTTAGCAGCCATCCATCCATCTACCTATCAGTATATTGTATGATCATTTATGTAACAAAAAAATCGAGGCCAGGTGTGGTGGCTCACATCTGTAATCCCAGTGCTTTGGGAGACCGAGGCAGGAGAATCACTTGAGCCCAGGAGCTCAACACCAACATGGGCAAAATAGTGGGACCCAGTTTCTACAAAAAATTTAAAAATTAGCCAGATGTAGTGGCATGCCTGTAGTCATAGCTACTTAGGAGCCTGAGGCAGGCGGCTCACTTGAGCCCGGGAGGTAAAGGCTGTAGTGAGCTGTGATCTTGCCACTGTACTCCAGCCTGCCCAGCCAGGGTGACAGAGTGAGAACCATTTCCAAAAAAAAGAAAAAAAAAAAAAATCTGTGTTATACACACAAATGTTTGCATATAAATTCATACAAAGAAGAGTGGAAGGATATACACTAAACTGTTATGGTTATGTTATGTTACAGTGGCTCATGCCTGTGATTCCAGCACTTTGGGAGGCCGAAGTGGGAGGATCATTTGAGAACAGGAGTTCAAGAGCAGCCTGGTCAACATGGTGAAACCCCATTTCTACTAAAAATACAAAAATAGGCTGGGCATGGTGGTGTGAGCCTGTAATCCCAGTTACTGGGGAGGCTGAGGCAAGAGAATCGCTTGAATCCAGGAAGTGGAGGTTGCAATTAGCCAAGACCAGGCCACTGTACTCCAGCCTGGGCGACAAAGCGAGGCTCTATAGAGTCGAGGTACTGCCACATTGGTCAGGCTGATCTCAAACTCCTAACCTCAGGTAATCTGCCCCCTCTGCCTCTCGAAGTGCTGGGATTATAGGTGTGAGCCACCACGCCCAGCCTATTCATGCATTGTTTCTTTTTTTTTTTGAGATGGAGTCTCCTCTGTCACCCAGGCTGGAGTGCAGTGGCACCATCTTGGCTCACTGCAAGTTCCACCTCCCAGGTTCACATCATTCTCCTGCCTCAGCCTCCCAAGTAGCTGGGACTACAGGCGCCCGCCACCACATCCGGCTAATTTTTTTGTATTTTTAGTAGAGATGGGGTTTCACGGTGTTGCCAGGATGGTCTCAATCTCCTGACCTTGTGATCTGTCTGCCTCAGCCTCCCAAAGTGCTGGGATTACAGGCGTGAGCCACCACCCCCAGCCTCATTGTTTATGAAAACTTTTAGCTGGGTGTGGTGGCTCATGCCTGTGATCTCAGCACTTTGGGAGGCCTGAGGTTAGGAGTTTGAGACCAGCCTGACCAACATGGAGAAACCCCATCGCTACTAAAAATACAAAAAATTAGCTGGGCGTGGTGGCACATGCCTGCAATCCCAGTTACTCAGGAGGGTGAGGCAGGAAAATTGCTTGAACCCAGGAGTTGGAGGTTGCAGTGAGCCAAGATTGTGCCATTGCACTCCAGCCTGGGCAACAAGAGTGAAACTTCATCACAAAAAAAAGAAAAAGAAAGAAAGAAAAAAGAAAACTTAAAAAGCCGTGTCTGATCCTGGAGGTTTTATGTATGCTAAAGTACAAGCTTTCGCTTTTTGCCTTAAGTAATGGGAAACTCCTGAAGTAGATTAAGCACAGGGATGACAGAATCTAATTCCTTTTTTCTGGGAGGGGTGGTCAGGGTCTTGCTCTGATGTCCAGGCTGGTGGGCAAAGGTGCAATCATGGCTCACGGTAGCCTAGACCTCCCGGGCTCAAGCAGTCCTCCTACTTCAGTCTCCTGAGTAGCTGGGACCACAGGCACATGCCACCATACCTGGCTAATTTTTATAATTTTTTTGTAAAGATGAGGTCTCTCTATGTTTCCCAGGTTGGTCTCAAACTCCTGACCTCAAGTGATCCTCTCACCTCAGCCTCCCGAAGCACTGCGATTACAGGTGTGAGCCACTGTACCTGACGTATTTTCTATTCTACAGGTCATAGCCAGATGCTCGATTCTTCCCTCATACTTCACCCTCTTTCTTGGCTAAGAATTCACTGTACAAGGGAGCAGGACAGCATGTTTGTGCCCAGTGGATGAAATGTGTATTCTGAAACAGACCTAGCCATGCTGGTTCTCTAGTCTTTCTTTTTTTTTGAGATGATGTCTCACTCTGTCTCCAGGCTGGAGTGCAGTGGCGCGATCTTGGCTCACTGCAACCTCCACCTCCCAGGTTCAAGCAATTCTACTGCCTCAGCCTCCTGAGTAGCTGGGACTACAAGCACAGCTAATTATTGTATTTTTTAGTAGAGATGGGGTTTTACCATGTTGGCTAGGATGGTCTCAATCTCTTGACCTTGTGATCCGCCCGTCTCAGCCTCCCAAAATGCTGGGATTGCAGGTGTGAGCCACCATGCCTGGCTGGTTCTCTAGTCTTAAGTTGTTTTTGGCTACTGCTCCTACCTGTTCCATTCATGTAGTCCTTGGCCAGCTCAAACAACCTGAGGTGCATGTTGGTGATGGGATTGAAGGAACCACAAGCAAGGAGAACCACTTCAGTCTTCTCGGAATTTTCCATGGTAAGAACTTGAAGTTGTTGATCTAAATGGAAAACTGTGACACCTCCCTTGCTGTCTACAAAGGAAAAAGAAAATAAATTTGGTTACACATTTTTTTTTTCTAAGATGAGGTCTTGCTCTGCCACCCTGGCTAGAACATAGTGGTGCAACCACAGCTGACGGCACCCTCAGACTCCTGGGCTCAAGTGATGCTCTCACCTCAGCCTCTAAAGTAGCTGGGAACACAGGCACATACCAAATAGATTGGCTAATTATTTTAAAAACTAATTTTTGTAGAGATGGGGGTCTTGCTATGTTGCCCAAGCTGGTATCAGACTACTAGTCTCAAGCAATCCTTCCACCTCAGTCTCTCAAAGTGCTGGGATTACAAGCATGAGTCACCACGCCCAGCCCAGTAATAGGTCTTTTGATGTCCTTCCATGTTCTCATTCACAATAGATGGACTAAAAGTATTTGGCTTAGGCCGGGCTTGGTGGCTCATGCCTGTAATCCCAGCACTTTGAGAGGCTGAGGTGGGCGGATCATGAGGTCATCGAGACCATCCTGGCTAACACAGTGAAACCCCGTCTCTACTGAAAATACAAAAAAATTAGCCGGGTGTCGTGGCGGTCGCCTGTAATCCCAGCTACTTGGGAGGCTGAAGCAGAATGGCATGAACCAGGGAGGCAGAGCTTGCAGTGAGCTGAGATGGCACCCCACTGCACTCCCGCCTGGGCGACAGAGCGAGACTCTGTCTCAAAAAAAAAAAAGGATTTGGCTTCGGCTGGGCGCGGTGGCTCACACCTGTAATTCCAGCACTTTAGGAGACTGGGGCAGGTGGATCATGAGGTCAAGAGATTGAGACCATCCTGGCCAACATGGTGAAACCCCATCTTTACTAAAAATACAAAAATTAGCTGGGTGTAGTGGCACACGCCTGTAATCCCAGCTACTTGGGAGGCTGAGGCAGGAGAACCACTTGAACCTGGGAGGCGGAGGTTGCAGTGGCCAAGATCGCGCCATTGTACCCCAGCCTGGTGACACAGCCATACTCCATCTCAAAAAGAAAAAGAAAAAAAAATTTGGCTTCAATCATTATGCTAACCATAAAAATGCTTCCACATCTCCCTCCCTCCTTTTCAATGTGAAATTTGCAGCTCCCACCATGAAGAGATGGAAGTGACTTCTCCACATTTTTTGACTTGCTTTGGCCAAAAGAATGTGGCACAAGTGATAGTGTGGAGGATGCCAGAACACGTGGGAGCGCAGCAATGCTCCCACTGATAGACATCCAACCCCCGCCCCCATGTGGGGAACACGGCCATCCCCGACCAGCCAACAACTACAGTCCCTCTGCTCAGACACATGAGCAGACCCAAGTGAGGTCAACCAAACCTGGCTCAGATCGTCAAGCCAACAAGCTGACCTAGTCTCAAAAACAAAAATTAGTGTTCATTATCATATGTCACTCAAGTTTTGTGGTCGCACTATTGTGGCCACAGTTAATTAACACAACAATATTATCATCTACCAAATATAGCATTTTTAATCAACATGATAGTAACATCATAATTTTCCACTGAATAGAATTTACAAACCTCTTTTTCATATCAATTATTCCACTGATCCTTCCATAACCCTAATGAAGTGACGTAAGGCATCCAATTTTAAATTTTTATTAAAATTTCTTTTTTTTTTTGAGACAGAGTCTCGCTCTGTTCCCCAGGCTGGAGTGCAGTGGAGTGATCTCAGCTCACTGTAAGCTCTGCCTCCCGGGTTCACACCATTCTCCTGCCTCAGCCTCCAAAGTAGCTGGTACTACAGGCGCCCACCACCATGTCTGGCTAATTTTTTGTATTCTTAGTAGAGACAGGGTTGATGGGGTTTCACCATGTTAGCCAGGATGGTCTCGATCTCCTGACCTTGTGATCCGCCCGCCTCGGCTTCCGAAAGTGCTGGGATTACAGGCGTGAGCCACCGTGCCCGGCCTAAAATTTCTTATTCAACTAATTCATATATACAGATCTAGAACATCACAAGGTAAAAAAAGCCAATAATGAAAACCAACAGCCATCAATCATATCCCACTCACCATCCCTTCCATCCAGGTCCCTAAGGCAACCACTTTTAACTTTTTCAGCTATTTCTTCCGGTAGTTTCTACCATAACTCTATATTATGTGCTTATAATGCCATCTCTGAATTTATCCCACTTAAACTGTGCCCATTGACTTTCTTTTATGATCTATAAAGATTAGCTCTCATACCCTTTCACTACCTTCTCCCAAACTGCCCAATACAGTTTATCTCCAGACTATGTTGAAAATCATTTTCTCCCACAACTTCGAAGGCATTGCTTCTAGATTCCAACGTTAATGGCATGAAATCCAAAGCCACTTCCAATTCCGGAGGTTTTGAATATCATTTTTTTTTCCTGCCTCGAAGCCTGTAAGGTCTTCTCTTTGTTCGCAGTGTTCTGAAATTTCACAATGCTGTCCTCTAGTACAGCTTTGTTTCCATCCGTCATGCTGAGCATGGGGCAGGGCCTTTCCGTCTTGAAACTCCTAACATTCAGGTCTAGCAAATGTCCTTGAATTCTTTTATTGATGATTTTCTGCCTTCCATTTTCTCTGTTCTTTGGAAATGTCTATTTATTATTATTATTATTATTCTTATTTTTGAGACACAGTCTCCCTCTCTCACCCAGGCTGGAGTGCAGTGGCATGATCTTGGCCCACTGCAACCTCCACCTCCCAAGTTCAAGCAATTCTCCTGCCTCAGCCTCCCAAGTAGCTAGGACTATAGGCATGCACCACCACACCCAGATAATTTTTGAATTTTTAGTAGAGATGGGGTTTTACCACGTTCGCCAAGCTGGTCTCGAACTCCTGGCCTCAAGTGATCCACCTGCCTCAGCCTCCCATGAGCCACCGTGCCTGGCCTGAAAATGTCTATTATTTAAATCTGAAGCATCTAATCATTTTTTCTGTATTTTCCACCTCCTGCCTTCATGCTCTAATTTCCAGATAGCCTCAATTTCATCCTCCAATCTGCCTAGTTTTCATTTGTGCCGTTACACTCTTAATTTCCAAGAGCCCTATCCTCTGAATATTCCTGTTTATGGTATTCTACTCGTTTCCCCAACAGATTATCATCTCTATTTCTCTACCAATATTCATGATATATTTTAAAGTTTCTTCAAAAAGAGCTGATAGGGCAGGTTGAGTGGGTAGGTAGGGTTTGTGCACAGTGGCCATCACTGTTCAGTAACCTGTCAGTACTGCAGGTCTTTCTACTTGAATTAGTCAGACTCCAAAAGAATGTATCCTACAATTTCCTGCCTATATAACAGAATAGTTAAGAGCCTATGCTCTGAAATTAGCTGCCTGGCTTCAAATTGCAGCTCCAACTGCATGACCTTGGGCAACCTAACTAACTTAACCTTCCTTTTGTCCCAGGTTTTTTTTCTTTTTTTTTTGAAACAGAGTCTTGCTGTGTCACCCAGGCTGGAGTGCAGTGGTGCGATCCCAGCTCACTGCACCCTCTGCCTTCTGGGTTCAAGTAATCCTCCCTGCCTCAGCCTCCCAAGTAGCTGGGAAGCTGGGATTACAGGTGAGTGCCACCACACCTGGCTAATTTTTTTTTTTTTTTGAGATGGCGTCTTGCTGTGTCACTCAGGCTGGAGTGCAGTGGTACGATGTCGGCTCACTGCAAGCTCCGCCTCCTGGGTTCATGCCATTCTCCTGCCTCAGCCTCCCAAGTAGCTGGGACCATAGGCGCCCACCACCACGCGCAGTTAATTTTTTGTATTTTTAGTAGAGACAGGGTTTCACTGTGTTAGCCAGGATGGTCTCGATCTCCTGACCTCGTAATCCGCCCACCTCAGCCTCTCAAAGTGCTAGGATTACAGGTGTGAGCCACTGTGCCTGGCCTAATTTTTGTACTTTTAGTGGAGTCGGGGTTTCACCTCATTAGCCAGGCTGGTCTCAAACTCCTGACCTTAAGTGATTCATCTGCCTCGGCCTCCCAGAGTGCTGGGATTACAGGCGTGAGCCATCGTGCCCACCTTGTCCCAGTTTTCATCAGTCTTAAAAAGGAGAAAATAATACTACCCACCTCCTGATTGTTGTGAGGATTAAATGAAACAATACAGATCCAGGACATACAACTACATTTGGCAGGCCAGGCACGGTGGCTCACGCCTGTAATCCCAGCGCTTTGGGAGGCTGAGACAGGCGGATCACCAGGTCAAGAGATCGAGAACATCATGGCTAACATGGTGAAACCCCGACTCTACTAAAAATACAAAAAAATTAGCTGGGCATGGTGGCGGGCACCTGTAGTCCCAGCTACTCAGAAGGCTGAGGCAGGAGAATGCCGTGAATCCGGGAGGTGGAGCTTGCAGTGAGCCGAGATCGCACCACTGCACTCCATCCTGGGCAACAGAGCGAGACTCCATCTCAAAAAAAAAAACAAAAAAAAACTACATTTGGCAAATAGCAAATATGCTATGAATATAGCTATTATGAACGTTGCATATTATGCTACTAGAACTGTCTTTTGTTTTTTAATTTTTGAGACAGTATCTCACTCTGTTGCCCAGGCTGGAGTACAGTGGTGCAATCTCAGGTGACTGCAACCTCTATCTCCTAGGATCAAGTGATCCTTTGACCTCAGCCTCCCAAGTAGCTGGGACTACAGGCATGCACTGGCTAATTGTTTTTTGTTTTGTTTTGTTTTGTTTTGTATTTTTTGTAGGGATGGGGTTTCGCATATTTCCCAGGCTGGTCTCAAACTCCTGGGCTCAGAATCTCGAAGCGAACCTGCCCACATTGGCCTTCCAAAGTGCTGGGTTTACAGGTATGAGCCACTGTGCTCAGCAAGCAAATTTTTTTTTCTTTTTTAAATCAAGAAAACATCAATTTCAAATGGTTTAACCTACAATTGCTATTCTATTCAATCTGGTTTTTTCCCAGAGGATTTTCTTCCTGGAACTCTCCTCCTATCTAGATGAAAAATCTCTATTTGTGAAGCTATTATTCTGAAAACTTCTTCATCTCTCTCCTGGGTTAGATCC